TCAATATTTATAGTCAGATAAAAATAAATGACAGACATGTGATGAATAAGATGAAAAGTGTACACACATACGCTTATATAAAAAATAATCAGGGTTAATAAGTGAATAATTAACAAGGTGAAAACGTGACTCAAGATGGATAAGTAAATTGGTTTATCCAGAAGCTAGAGTAAAGTATATGAACTTGACATACCAACCGACACTACAGTCCACGACGTTTTGCCTAGTACCTACAACTAGCTAACATCCAATACAGAGAAATACAATATTTATTTTACAAGTTGCTAAAGAAATTCACGAAATTACCACTTGATCGATCGAATTTGATCAATATTAAGGGACTGGAAACCATAATAACTAATACAATCAAGTGAGGTTAAGTATTACTTACATTCTAGAATGTATGTTCATGAATTTTTATCATACCATTAATGTCAAATCAATGAAATAGTACAAGCAAATATTTATCTACTTATTTAATTAAGATTTTTCATATCTAATTCATTCAAAATATTCCAAATACAATTTTTTAAAATATACATATAGTTGAAATTATGAGTCAATTGAAGTTAGAAAACCATGGAAAACCTGGAAGCACTGGACGGCCGTTTCGTCTCATTGTGGGACTCCTCAGTGGCAGTGCTCATCCACGATTCCGCACTCGCGAGATTCGAACACAGGACCTACCAGTCTCGCGCCAGAGCACCTAACCAATAGACCATTGAGCCGGAATCCAACGGTGTTAATGTCTAACTTCAACCAATCCACGACATTGAGCAACCATTCATCAATGTCATCAGCGAGTTTCTATCACCCAACAGACGTGGTTGAACTCCATTGGTTACTGCTTTTCACTAGAACTCCAGGAAATACCTCATGGATCCAGTCACTAGTGAGAATATAATAAGATGGTTTTTTGTGGAGATTTTTTAGCAATTTTATATATATAGTTGAAATCATGAGTCAATTTTCTTAAGAAAAAAAACTAACAAAACAAGTATATTACGCATGATCAAGGAACAAATTTTTGGTACCTCGTAAAATAAACATGTCATTTCGGTTGTTTTTTCCCCCTGTAGTTAATTTAAAAATCGATAGTATTGAAGTGTATTTAGAAAAGAAGTAGTAGATATGTAAATACATTTACACATTTAATTATATGAGTTTGTATAATGACACACAAATTTGAATATTTTTGTAAAAAAAAAATTTACACACCTAGATCTTATTTATAATTACTACTGTATGAATAAGGTCAGAAGATTAGTAAAATAAAAAAGGAAACTATTTAAGCAGAGATGGATAGTGGCTAGCAGAGGAATCCAGTTTGACGTGCGTTTCGTCCTATTTAGGACTCGTCAGTTGGATGTACCTACATCTCAAAGACTATTTTATTGACTGTTTATAAAAGTAGCTAGATATGTGTTTATTGTTAAGTAAATGAAAATTAATGATTATCAGATGTGGAGATTTGTATTAATGAAGAATGTATTTCAACGATTCTTGTCAGTATATAGGATTTGTTGACTAGACGTTTTAATGTTGCATATACATTCAGTCAGTCATTATTAGAATAAAGCCTAGAAAAGATATTCGCTGACTCAATTTTTGTATGAGCATATTAACTCAACGAAATGAAATTAACAATGAATATAGCTACAGAGGTCGAAGTAACTTAGTGGTAACGAAAATGAGGAGGACTAAGCATTGAGAATATTGTTCAAAAAGGCAATGTGTAAAGGTATGAAAAAACACTAGCACTGAAGATTCAGAGAAAAATTAAGAGTGAATACATCTGTGCGACCCTGAGTGATTCTGGGCCATGTTACCCAAAGTTTCCAGTCATGAATCGTATATGCACCTAAAATATAATTATAGTTTTGAACAATGACTTTGACTGGAATCCATCACTGTACTTACGTCCCATTTGGGCCTACTTATTAACTTGGTGTAACTATATTGTAATCTTGCTATTCACATGAAGACTAAAACCAATTACCTTTCATTGCAGACATAAACATTGGTGTGTAAATACAACTGGCTGATTAATAACAAATAAGAAAAAAAAACATGCTTCATCGAATTTAATTTTAACCTCTAAAAATATAATAACACTTTGCTGAAAATTACTATAGAAGAAGCTAGGCTGGTCATATTGATAGACATCATACTTTGTTACTCTTCCCTAAATGTTTTAGTTTATATCACAGACCGATTTTAATTCGACTTCTCAACGGTGCGCATCCACGACCAGACTTGTTTTGGAATCTAGGTCTTTAGGTTTCAATGTAACTGTTTAAATTCCAGACCAATAGGCTGCCATTCTATAGTGTACATGCCTAACTCAATTAGTTCAAGGCATTGCTTGACTATCTTCCATTACATGAGACGAATAACTCTCTCATATACAAAATGGTTGGACTACACTGATAGCAGCTCCTTTCTAGAACTTTTGGAATCGCAAATGATTATTATTAGTCTGAGGTTTCGGAATTTTTATAATTCAAATCACAAACTTACCACAATTTGTAATGAGTCATTTCTTATTGTTAACTCATTTTTATTCATAGAAATTATCATCATTTCAACAATTAGGTTAAGTCTTTTATTTGGGTATTTGTTGAACAATAAGTAGAAGATTTAAAATGATGAAAAAAGTGTCTCCTTAAACTAATTGATTTATTTAACTTTGATAAAGAACCTTCCACTAATTAATTTTATTATAAAACGTTTTTTTTGACAAAGAAGAAATAGAAGAAATAAACAATTTTCTTGTGAAAATATTGTGAAAATCTTGCTTGTGAAATAAGGCTATATCGCGGCAATGCACACAGTATGTACAAGGCCAATAAGAGACTGACCAGTTGCATTCTTAAACATCAATGGGAAGATTCAAACAAGTAATACCAAGTGAATTTAAACTTCACCCCATTGCACAGGCAAGTGGCTATCAGGATTCAATAGCTGAGTGGATAACGTGATGGCGTTTGAAGCGAACGGTACTGTGTTCGAGTCCCAGAGTGAACATCAACAAGTCTGAGATGCAGGTACATCTAACTGACAAGTCCCAAATAGGACGAAATGCGCGTCCTGGATATCCCTGGTAGCCACTATCCATGTTCGCTTACAATGCTTGCGAAATAAGGCTATATCTAGGCTATACGCACAGTTTGCACATAGGCCAATAAGAGACTGATCAGTTGCAGTCCTAAACATCAATGGGAAGATTCAAACAAGTAATACTAAGTGAATTTGAACAATTTTCTGTTTATATAGTAAGTATTTCATTTATACTCTTAAGAAGCATTAATTCACAAATGAAATTTCTTTCATTTTGGTAAACTTATATTCTTTGAGGTAGATAGTATTCAGTTATGAGAACTACTATGTAATAGAACAAACTTACAGTTTATTTAAAAAGTATTTACAGAACTCAACATTCAGCATAAAATTAAGTTTATGAAAAGCAATCATTAGATTATTCTAATAATTATTAAATACATAAGAGAGGTTGCAACTAAGTTATTAAAACAGATAGAAGTTAAGCTGGATTGGTTAAACAGTGATATATCCAAAAGAGGTAATGCAAAAAATTCTGAAAGTTAAGTATTCATATTGGTATTGTTTGTTTGAATCTTCCCATTGATGTTTAGGACTGCAATTGATCAGTCTCTTATTGGCATATGTGCGTACTGTGCGTATTGCCTCAATATAACCGTAATTTACAAGCATTATATATATATATATATATATATATATATATATATATATTTCATGGCGAGACTAAATTTATGGACGACCTTTGAACGAATCTCAAGTGACCTTGAGGAATATTAGCCAATCAAAAGACAATTAGTATAGAGTAATAATATAATATGCAACACTAAAGAATTAGAGTGGGTACACTTCTTTTACATGGTTCAAAAGCTTGTCAAGGCTAGAAAGATGTCCAATGGTTTTAAAATCGTAATGCATAAGGTAGAGGAACTCATCCATATGGCTCCATAATACTCAGTCTCTGGAGCCATGGTACGATAAAAAAAATCTCTCAATATTGTTTGTGTGTACTCCGGTTGTGTAAGTTTGTCATTTTTATTAGGCATATATCCCTAGAATACTCACACCTCAGTAACATCTGCGAATATTGCAGCCAATAATACTGGTGCTTTTATTATACAGTTCACAGCAATTATTATAATTTGCCTTAATCTCAATCTGGATAGAAAGAAAAAATTTCCTAATCTAGCAGACTTCTTCCTCTAACATATATTACATCGAAAGATAACATCAGGGTAGTCTGCACAAGGTCCACAAGTCAATTGATTATCGCAATTACAAATAAAGGAACTTCTTAGTAATCCCATTTATTGTAGCCGCCTAATTGTCACGTTTTCTCTAAAATCCTCTGTGAACAGATTGTACATGAGCATCAGGTACTGAAATTGGACCTTGAAATCCCTCGGACGCTCCTAATTGGCTCCTCCATAAATTATAGTCTCTCCGATATCATAAGGATATTTTCAGTTTTGGGTTGTGGAGATTGCTGAATTTCATTGACATCATGAACCCCTCAATGTTAAACGACCACTGAAAACCTCACTAGTGACTAGCTTTGAGAGGGAATTCTCGGCGTTCTAGTGAGAAGCCATGAACACTGGAGTTCAACTGTTTCGGGTGTACGTCAGTTACTCACCGTAAGCAATAGAAGATGGTCGCGCAACATCGTGAATTGGCTGAATTTAGCCATTAACATCGTTGGACGCCGGTTCAGTGGCCTAAAGGATAGGCTTTCGCGTGAGACCGAAGGTTCTGGGTTCGAGTCTCAAATATGGTATCGTGGATATGCACTGCTGAGCAGTCTCATGCTAAAACGAAATGGACATCCAGTGCTTCCAGGTTTTAACTGGCGGTCTAACATTGATTTGTTCATGATTTCAATAAAAATGTTTTTTCCCATAAAAATAGTGGAAATTACGAATTTGTTTTGAAAAACAACTTACTGCTGAGGCTATCGGAGCTGCAAAACCTCCACCAGTTGCAGCTGTTATAATCATCGCGATTAAAGCCAAAATAGCGCATAGTTTTATGGAAATAAATTCCTACATGTGAATAGAATGGAAGAAACAAACAGGAAAGTATATATCGGTATAGGGTTGTAGTGGTTGATGAATTTCACTGAAATTGCAAACCAATCAAACTTGAAAATCTCATGTAAAACTTGAAAACAATGGATGAAAGTTTCATCCTAGTATCTGATTCTGTGATTGCAAAACAGAGAATCAAACCAAGGACTCCATTCGGGCTCAAGGACGCTCACTGGTGAGAAAAATGCGAAGCCTTCCAAGTTTCCAATGACTGTCTCACTTTGGTCAGTTCATGATTTCAAAGAAGAGTGTGTGTTAATACGAACTCAAATATAGTGTCAAAATATTTAATTCAGCATGACCGTTCGTGGATATTATTTGGTGTGAATGATATTATGGGTTGTTTGATTTAAGTTGGTTCATGATATCAATAATCTATACTTCAACATGATATTGTATTATCTAAAATAATGTTGCACCTTAGTACTACTAAATAGAAATATTCTATGGTAAGGAAAAATTTATCGTTTAAATCATCTTTGGAAATTAGACTAATTCAAACATAAGTCTGCTCAATTCATTCTGTTTCGGGATTTTTCATTAGGAGTTTATCACCAGCGAATTGTGAACCGGAAGAAAATGTGATTATATCTACCATCCAAAATAGTTGTTTATTTATTTCTACGACGTAATCTGAGTTTTTTACAAGTTACTCATACCAGCAAAACTTTAAGATTGAGCAAGTTTGGAAGTTTTGATTACTGTAATATTAACTTGATGTTCAAAGTTGAAAAGTAAACTGGTTGTTCAAAAAGATTCAGATTAACATTCTTTATCTTAAGTGTTTGGAAATAATCAATAGGAACTCTGCTTGACCTAGGTTTCCTGACAGTTAGTATTCGTCATCAAGGAGTACATGTAATTTTGTACATGTAATTTTGAAGAAACTAATTCTACCTCAGGGATTCATATCGACATCAAAACAACCTCATTGTCAAAATCCTAACCATTGAGATGACTGACAACGCATGCTATCCATGATGAGCGCCTACGTTTACCCTAACCACTGAAAAGTTTTTCTACAGATTACATAATTATTAGAGATCAATGTTTTGCGATTTTATTTACATCAACCACCAATAAACTGGAAAGCACTTTGGTAATTCACTTTCATTAGTTATGGACGGAAATATAGTCAAATCTTAGAGATTGTATTATACGCACCAGTTTACTTAATCAATATAATTCTAGAAAAAAGTTCAATAAACAGAATGGTTTAACAGCACTGTATTTATGTGGTCTTTATCATCTGGTGTCCTTCATAATAAGATAATCTTTTGAGAAATTGTTTACAAATAACGTATTATTAATCTAGTTTTAATTGGGGTCTGAATTCAGTGAAAGAAGTATTGAAACTGGTGATAATATTACTCACTTATTTCATTTAAGTATGAAACATTTTAAACGTTTACATTGAGGACTCTATCGGTGGTCAAACTCAGAATTTGAAGGTCCCGTGGCAAAAATAATTAAAGGAAACAGTAAATTGGAAATCTGCTATCTACATTTACAATTTTGGTTCATGTGAGATATGGTACTTGATAATCTGCCATCCCCTTTGGTGGTATATTTTTTTACTTGATAATACCGAGCTCCTACTGTTTAGACTTTATATTGTAACCTCGAAAATCCCTTTTGAGATCGGTTCGGATTTGAATTGTTTGTGCTGGTTGATGCTAAAAACAATACTTTGACAGAATAATTGATTAGATATTCCTAGTTCCCAGCAGTCCTTAGCTGGTACCACTTAGTGTTGAAGACTAATATTATGCTGTTAATAATTTTCACTACTCTCCTAATTTTAGAAATATGACTACTTTTAATGGCAATATAGGATACGAAATAGATGAATCTATCACATGTAACTTTATGCAATGTGCCAGGAAAATGTTAGTGTATGTGTTTATTGATCAAAATTTATTTAGAAAAATAATATATTGATTTGTCAACTTATTTTACATTAATAGATTTCTGATTATTTATACTAATGATGATCTTATGGCCAAAGATGGATAGTGGCTAGCAGTGAAATTCAGGGCACGCGTTTCGTTCTATTTGGGACTCGTCACATGTATGTACCTGCATCTCAGACTTGTTGATGTTCACTCTGGGACTCGAACCCAGTACCTTTCGCTTCAAACGCCATCACGTTATCCACTCAGCTACTGAGTCCTGATAACCACTTGCTTGTACCGTGATGAACAGAACACGATTGGGGACAATCGAATGTATTTAAGTAAAAATTACATACTATCTCAGTAAATTCTGAAAACCACACAATGGGCAGTCAATTTGCAAATTAACAACCAATAGTCTCAATCTTCACTGTTTCTTCTCTAATTCCATTGTTCGTGCATTTTCCTACCGATTGCGCTTTGTTTCAGTTCTTTCCTCATCGGTCTTCTGCCAAATACATTCTATGTCTGACCCACACCATATACTACTTATATGGATATAAGTAGACCACAACATAGTACAATAGGGTGAAGTTTGAATTTATTGCTAGCCACTATCCATCTTTGCTTATAATGCTTGTGAATTAAGGCAATATCGAGGCAATACATACAGTATGCACATATGCCAATTAGAGACTGATCAGTTGCAGTCTTAAGTATCAATAAGAAGATTCAAACAAACAACACTAAGTGAATTCAATAATCTTATGGGTTATGTAATTTACCTCTTCAGTTAGTAGGAAAGTTTCAATTCAGTTGTGAAAAAATGATAATGGAATATTTAATCATGTAACATGATGAACCTGTTTTAAATAGAGACAGAATTTTATAACTAAAATTTTTGACTTGTCAATATTCAGTTCTAAATATTATAAATAATATAAATCTTTAAGAAGAAAATCTCTCTTTATTTGACAGATTGATGTTTTACTGAACTTTTTAAAGTCTAAAATATTAAGTACTGTATCGGAATCTTAGGTTACAGGTATCTTCAGTTGATGATGTTCTAAATTCTACTGTTTTCTATAAATATAATAAAACTTCTAAACAAATTGATTGATGAAGATGATGAAAGTTTTTAAAGAATAATTTCATTATTGTTAGTTGCTTAACAAAACATTTAGGAAATAAATTTTCTAGGTATTAATAATCAATTGACTCATGATTTCAACTGTGAATATACTAAATTCTCCACAAAACCCCCTCTGATTAATAATTTTGTCAGTAAAACATTCAAACAGTTAAAGATAATGTTCAAAAGAGAAAAAAAATAATGTTTGAAATGTTTTCTTAAATCATTGAAAGATTTTATGAAGCATTAGAATTGATAAACAGTAAAATTAGACTGGTTTGTAACAAAAAATAAAATTGATTTTAATGAAATCAAAGTGATTTAAAAAGGTTTTAATGCTTTTAAAGAAAGATTAACAGATGATATCTTGGTTATATGAAAAAGAAAAAAAAATCAGGAAATTTTGGATAGAAGAGATGAATGATGGTTAGTAACATCTTGGTAGCTATTGATTTAATGAACAAATACATTGTTATTAACATTTATCCCAATTCATACTGTGCATAATATGACTCTAATAACAAGGAATGTTAATTATTTAGTCAATTATATTGTTCGAATATATTTTCAATAACTTTTAATATAACTTCACAACATACCATGTAACTATTTTTTAAAAATTAATTTTCTTTAATGAACCCTAATTTTTATAACAAACAAAACAATTTTTTATTTCATGAACCTTAAATAGAAGTTTTATTTATGATAGGATGCTCATAAGTAGTTAGCATGGAACGATGAATTTAGGTTTCGTTTTAGTTAACACTCGTCATATATTTACAACCTTGAGGAAACTGATAGTCCTCGTGGAATCTCAACCAGAAGCGCATAATTTCACCGTATGAAGAGTTACCACTGATGAATCCGGGTTGTAAGTGACCCTCTGCAGGATTGAGGTACTTATAAGTAATTAACCAACGATTAGTGACCCATTCGCTATTTGTCTAGTCCTTTCGTATTGATAGATTTTTCATCGATGAAGTTTCAATATTATCATTAGTCTAAGTGGATAGAGATCGAATACACCATGTTCAGACGAAAATTCGTTAAAGATAATCGGAAGAAAACAATGGACGTATTCACTAAATGTTTTAATAGCAATACACACACATACGTATGTCACATTTGAACACATTTCACATCAAATAACCGATATTCCCATCGTATCTCGAATTAGCATTTGAGTATGACTGGACAAGAGTTTGATATAGACTTTTTAGACTTGACATATCTTATATAATCTTGATTCTGATTATTTTCTTGAAGAAGCTCAAACGGTTATCGCCATGTGAATCATCTTAGTTGTTAAAGTCTCGATCATTAAGGTAGTTTCAAATATATTGCATGCATCTAATGTCTTTTTTTATACTGAGCCCCCAATTCTCGTCACATTTTTTTAAATTTTGAAAGATTTTCATATAAATCATTGAAGTTAGCCAAAATTTCTGTAAAAGCATTCAAAAACGTATAAAAAGTAGCCACTAGTACGTCAACATTATCCTTGGTTTGTGTATAAAAGAATCAGAAGTCGTCTACAAGCTCGAATGAATCAAAATAACCTACTCACTACTCACGAAAAGAAACTATGAAATTTAGCTAAGCATTCAAGGAGACCGATCATGTGTTGACAAATCATATTCAGTAGTTGAATTCATGAATCCATTAAGGCTAGACCACCATGGAAAACCTGAAAGCACTGGACGGCCATTCTTAGTTGTCTGATTGATTCCGATAACGAATGAGACTTTTACCTGCTAAATAGTAGACTGGTCTTTTGTGCTCGTTTAGGGCGTGAATTCTATTGCTTCTTCATGGAGTAGTAAGGTCGTGATCCTTTAGGTGTGGTGACAGTTTCGACTTCTTAAAGGGACAAGTGGCACGTTTAAGTTGCATGAAATTGAGCAATAACAGGTCTGTGATGTCCTTAG